CCCCCCCCCCACCCCGTCATCTCCCTCGGTGGGCTCTTACCTTATTGTCTGATTTGTCTGATTGCTCCCTCAGAGCCCTGGCGGCGGGGAAGGAGTCAGGGCTGTGGGGCGGGGGTGGGGAAGCAGGCGGAGGAGGAAACTGTGAGGCCCAGAGCTGGGAGAGGTGGGTCAGAGCCTCTCCAGGAGGCTGCCAGTCCCATTATACTAACAACCCCCATTCTCAGGTCCTTACCCTGTACCAGGGCCTGTCCACGCTTGACCTGTGCGCCCTCAAAATCCTGCTACAGCCCCTGTAAGCCGGTACCGGTGCTCCTGTTTCACAAAGGAGGGAAACGGAGCTCTGCAATTAAGTAACTTATTTAAGCTCACACAATAGGAGCGCAGAGCTGGGCTATGAATGCGAATGTCAGGCTCCAAAGCTGCCCTGTAACCCCCAGGTCATGTCCCTCTGCCCTTCCTGTGACCTCTGGTCTTGAGGGTTGAGGAACTGTGGACCAGAGAGGAAAGGAGACGGGGCCCTTGCCCTTTGGAAGCTCCCAGTCTGGCGGGGAGACAGGACCCACACCCAGGACACACATAGACAAGGCTATTATCGTTATTATTATTGCCCAAGTGACTGACCAGTGACTCAAGTGAGACCAGAAGAGAGAACATGCTGGAGTGTTTCTCAACTGGGGCAGGATGTTTCCACTGTCCTTCACTGGCCCCCGATACTAAGAACCCCTCAATCACTGTGACAACTGTTCCACATCACTCGAGAGCCCCTGAAGAATAGGAGAAGGTGAAAATGGAGGCGTCCTATTTGCCAAATCCAGTAGGCTTATCTCCACCCCTCCATCCCTTATTCTTTTGCATTTCATCCAGAAGTATTTAAAGGCCACCTAGCCATTGCCAGGCTCCCGCTTAGTGGTAGGAATGCAAAATGAGTAGGTCGCTCCAGATGCCATATCCGGGTGGGGGTTCAGATGAACAGGCCTGGAGGCCTTGGTTGAGGAATGTTCGTGGTGCGTGGAGGGAGCCCCTCTAACCCAGGCGTCAGGCTTCCCTGCCAGTCAGTCCTTTCCAGCAGGAGCAGAGTGTGGCAGGCACGTTGTGAGGGTGCAGAGAGGAGGAGGAGCGGAGTGCAGGGAAGGGTGGGCCAGGGAGGTAGGTTCAGGGAGGCACATGAAGCAGGGCCTTGCCAGGTCTTTGGTAATTTTAAACAAGGGAGTCTCATGGTTGGATCTGCCTGTAGCTTGGAGGGTGGAAGGCAGGGGTGGCCCCACCTAAAAGGGTGGTATTGGGCATGGAGAGAAGGTGACAGATCTGAGAGCTGCCTGGGTAGGAGGATTGGCAGGTCCAGGTGATTAATCGGGCGAGGCTGGGTGAGAGTCAAGGATGCTGAGCTCTCTGTTTGGGCGACTTGGACGTGCATGATGTCCTCTGCAATAGGAGACACGGGAGCAGGGGCAGGGAGGAGGGCAAGTTCACTCCTAACCTGTTGGGTTTGGAGCGTTTCTGAATGGCCATGTCTGCTCAGTAGGCAGTTGCATATTCAGGTCTGGGGTTGAGAAGGAACACGTAGATCAGAAACGAGGGTGTGGGAGCCATGAGCATTTGCCTGCTAGAGGGAGTCCCGTGGATGAGCGAGCCCCCAGCGAGAGCCTGAAGGGAGACAGCCTGATGGGACTCTGTGTCAAAGGGACTGGGCCAATTTAGATACTCTGAAGGAGATTGGGAAGGAGTGGCCAAGGAGGTAGGAGGGGACCCGAGAGTGTCATCTTGGAACCGGGGGAATAATGGGAGGGATCCGATGTTGAAAAGTTAGGCAAGACAGGGACTGACAAGTATCGCTTGGACTCAACAAGGCCACGGGGATGTGGCAAAGCCAGCTGTCATTATGTGGGGCTGGGGCTGAGTTTGTGGGGTTGGGGAGCAATGAGGAGATGAAGAAGGAGACAGTGAGTGAGGACGACTTTTTCAAGCAGCTTGTCTGTGAGGGTGGATAAAGTGGAAGTAGCTGGAACTGGGGAAGACATTGGGTTGAAGATGGAGAGCGGTTAAGGAGGTTCGTGTAGGAGGAGAGGTGCAGGTAGATGCTAAAGGTGATGCTATAGAGATAGACATGGAGGGGCGGTTGAGGGTGTGGGGCCCAGAGTCCAGGCTGGGGCGATTGGCCTGGGATGGAAGGACAGAAGAAAGGGACACTACGTTTGCCAGTGGCAGGCAGGGGGTCAAGGGAGCTCCACGCCATCTCAAATCTTTCTGGAACACACCAGGCCAGACCTTGCAGGAGCAAGGCAGCCCAGGAGGTTTGCAAATGAGGGAGGATGGTTGGAATTGCTGCTCTGGGGGATAGGTGACAAAGTGAGAAGGGAGATGGGCGAGGATGGCAGGTGCCATGTTCAGGGTCCACCGGGGGCTGGAGACCATGCACTGGTGGTGGCATCCATGGAGGTAGGCGTGAGCGTGCCCCTTGGGTCCTCAGCCCCTCATCTTCGACCTCCCAGACTGGCCGTCACTTCCCCTGCTCTCTAGAAAATCCTCAATCTTCAGTCCCTGTCTCTGGGGTTGTGCCTGAGTTCCCTTCCAGTCTTCCACTGGACATGGCCATCTGATCCCGAAATTCATACCACAGGTACCTCCTGCCTGTGCCAGGCGCTGGCAGGACAGATGAGGGCCCTTCACCTGATTCACTTGCAGCCTAGTAGGGTAGACCACCAATAAAGTAACAAGGTTATTACATGTAGTGAGAAAGGTAGGAGGGGACTGAAGGAGGCAGCGTGGGGCAGTGGTGATAAATTAGGACTCTGGAGCAAGAAGGTGTGAGGATTATATCAGTCTTCATAACGCACCTGGCACTCTGCCTGGCACCTAGAAAACACCGTATACGAGCTTTCTGTATGAAGTATTGGGAGTGTCTGGGAAGGCCACTTTGGATTGGGTGGTCAGCTGTCCGTGACACCCAAGACTCCATGTTTCCAGAAGCAGGCTCACCCAATTCCCATTCCTGGCTTTTGGAATTGTACCACCATCCTGCCCGTTGCCAGGTTCTAGGACGACCAAGGTCTTAAACACCGTTCCCCCGACCCAATCATACTACCTGGTGCCTGTGGACGGCAGGGTGGGGGGGGCAGAGAGTGGAATGAGCAGGGGACTGGGTGGAGGGGCCTCAGGGGGCACGGGCTGACTGCCCATCTGTTTCTCACAGTGCTGTGTTCTTCGCCACCTATCTGACCCTGGCCTGCTGTTCTGGACCTAGGTATGTGACGGCTTGAGGAACAACTTGTGTGAGAACATGAGAAGGATCTCGAAAGCCCTGGCCCCAGTCCTGCCTGCTGCCAGTGTGCTGTGAACTTCTGAGAGGGCTCTACCCTCTGGGCTCCATCAAGCCTGCCCCTCCCTCCTTCCCTTGGTGCCTCTCAGGTGGCAACAGGGTGGTGTGGACCGACAGATGGGGGCACCTGGGGGTGTGGCTGAAGGAGGAGGCTCCAAGGAGTGGGGATGGGGTTAGGCAGAGGCCCCCCCTCCCAGCTGCAGTGACCCAGCCCGTGGCTGCCGGCACCCCCCAATCTCCTCTGAACTCGGTGGTTTGCCTTACAGGAGGCATTTCCCCTGGAACCTGATTCTCCTGACCATCTTCGTAAGTGACCTGGGGGTGGCTGGGGACAGATGCTGAGTGCACATAGTGGGAGGAGGAAGCGGGGGGGGGGTGCTTCCAGGGCCAGGAAGTCTGGGCTGCAGATGTCCAATGGGAGGTGACTGGTGGAGGCCGGGGTATTTTCACCCCCCTTCTACAACAAAGACATCCCACCCTCTCTTTCCAAATAGGCTTAGTCTCCCCCACCCTTGACTCCTCCAGCCATTGTCTCTTTTCTTTGTTATGTTGTTTTTAAGAGGTTTGAATGTGGCATCCTAGAGCAATGGATAAAGAAGAGTAGGTCATAGAGAGGAGGGAAGAGCAGGGCTGCAAAAGGAAGAAGGGAACACAGCTAGTGCAGGCCTGTCAGGACGCTCCTCACCAGGCCTGAGTTGTAGAAGTGAATGTGTGGGGGCAAGGCCGATGCAGAGTTGAGGGGTGTGCCCAAGGAGTGGAGGCCCAGACTGGGCCCCCAAAGGCTGGATTCTGGAGCATTCCCTCATCCTGCTTCTCCTTCCAGACCCTGTCCATGGCCTACCTCACTGGGATGCTGTCCAGGTAAAGGGGACAGGTGGAAGGGAATGGGCCACTCTCTGAGGGGAGCTGCCCCTGAACATACCCCTTCAGAGAGCGTTCAGGGAGGGTGGAGGTCCAGGCAGGCAGGAAACACTGGCCTGGAGCCCTCTTCTCGCACACTCCGTTGAACAGTGACGGCAGGACCTGGCCAGGTTGAGGGGTGGAGGTGGGGAATGGAGGAGAGCAAGATGACCTCTCTCAAACTGCAGCTTGAGACACCCCAGCCTGGGTGGTCACACCACTCCCTGTAAGCCTCCCTGGTACCAGCACAAACCCCTCACCATCCTCTGCAAAGAGGAGTTTGAGTCTAAGCATGCTGGGGAGGGCAGAACCCAGGAGAGAGGCTGGGGGCCAGAGGCTGAGGGATCAGGTCCCCGCAGAAGGCGGTGGGCCTGGGAGGAGGGCCGGGGGAAACCAGGACCCCTGCCTGAAGCTGAGCCCCCCGGCCCTGTGTCCCGCAGCTACTACAACACGACATCTGTGCTGCTGTGTCTGGGCATCACGGCTCTCGTCTGCCTCTCAGTCACCGTCTTTAGCTTCCAGACTAAGGTCAGCTCTGGGGCTTATGGGCGGGACAAGGCCTATGGGATGGGGGGCTCCAAGCTTGGGTCCCTGGCTAGGGAGGGGGAAAGGGGTGTGTAGAGTCTGGGAGGCCACTTGAAGGAGGGGAGGAGGGGGGACGCCAGGTTCTAGGTAGGGAGCATAAGACAGCAGCCTGCTGTTTAGGGCTCAGCCTTCTGGCCAGCACACCGCCCAGCAGGGGTCCCCAGGAGTGCCAAGCCACTCTGTGCTGGCCCAATGGCTCACACCTGCCCCATCCCTGCAGTTTGACTTCACCTCCTGCCAGGGTGTGATCTTCGTGCTGCTCATGACTCTTTTCTTCAGTGGACTCATCCTGGCCATCCTCCTGCCCTTCCAATACGTGAGTCCCCGGGTCTCCCAGTGGGGCCCCTGGGGAGGGAGGGAGAGCCCCACCTCTCCCAAGGGTGCTGTTTCCTCCCCACCTTCCAGGGAAGGCCCAGAGCCAAAGGCCTACAGCCTGTCATCCTGTCCAGCCCTCCTGGCACCTGCCCTGAGCTGGTTGGCAGTGTAAGCAAACAAACAAGGAGGCTTTTCTTGGCAGGCGTGGGCATCTGCTCACACCATGAGCCACATCCGGCTTCACCTTTCTAAGGGGGAGGTGAGGCCGAGGGAGAAGCCACAGCACATTTAAACCCTGGGCAGGGACCGGAGCGCAGGAGCTCCATAGCGCCACCAAGCCCAGAAGGGCCCTGAAGAAGGACCTCCTGGGGCCCCTGAGGGATCAGCCAAGTCCAGAGGGCCAGAATCTGGCTGGCCAGGCAGGCAGGAGGTGGGGCAGTGGGGGTCTGAGCATACCCCCACCCCATTACGGTGTCCACGGGGCCAGCCAAATCTCAGCTGTCCAGCCTGCCCTGGGAAATGCAGCTCGGACAGCACAGGGCTCAGGGCTGACTGAGGCAGTCAGGGTGCTGCAGGTGGAGAAGGGGCAGACCGAGGGCATCACAGGAGGGGCTTGAGGTTTAATCCTGGGAACCCAGAGGATGAAGCTATTAGACTCCTGCTAAGGGCTCAGTGCTTGTACCCCCACCCAGGACTCCTCTTAACCACCTCTGGCGCATGGTCCCCCCACTGCCCCTTTTCTGCCAGGCTAGAAGCGGCATTCCCCACTCCCCCTTCCCCCCACCCCATCCTGCCCAGCCCCAGTCCGCAGGGTATTGGCTCCAAGTCCAGGACATCAGGATTGGTTCTGGCATTTCCTTGGCAATTCCCAGGATCCTGTTGACGAAGGGAGGGGCCGGAGCTGGTCTGGGGGCCCTCTGTGTATCTAGGATGGGGGAGAGGCAGTTATAGGAAGTGGCTTCCAAACTTCAAAGAACCGTTTACTGATCCAGGTCAGGCTACTGGGATGCCTTTGTTTCCAAGAATCTTCTGGGGGAAGGCCCCGTGGAGGGAGGCATGGCTGAAACCTTCAGGGTTTCCACACCCAGCTGGGTGCCCCTGAGACCTAGGGGTGGCCAAGGTTGGGAAGGGGCGCTGCAAGCAATCGCATCATGAACGGCTGGCAGGGATTCCATAGGATCCCCCCATCCCCCCACCACACACACACAGACCTCTGAGCCCCTTACGCCTCCAGGCAAAGCTAGGGAATTCCCCTACAGAGGAACAGACAGACCCCACGCAGGACAGGGATGAGTGTGTCTGCGGGGCAGGTAGCGGCCTGAGGCCAGACTCAGGCAGGGAGGACGGCAGGGGTTCAACAGGTTGAGTCTCCCTCAACCAGCCTGAGTCCAGGGCTGTGTATGGAGGGAACACCAAGTACATGTCAGCTGGGATCCCCTGCCAGTCCCTCCCTGATCACTGTTATCCTGGGGCTCCCCAGACGCACCCTGAGCGCACAGAGAATCAAGGACCCCTCTCTGTCCTGGGGCGTCTTCAGGACTGCTGGGGAGGGTTGGGGGTTGCTGTGAGAGAGGGAACCCACCAGGGAGGTCTGTGCTACATCCCCCGGTCTCTGGACTGAGCCCTCCTTTGCTGCCTGTCACCCTATACCCATTTTGTGTCTGCTCCACAGGTGCCCTGGCTCCACGCTGTGTATGCCGCTCTGGGAGCAGGCGTGTTTACGTTGGTGAGTGTGGCTTCCTGGGGGCCCCGCCTTCTCAGCCTCTGATCACCTCCCCAAGCCCCTCCACTATCCCCGTCTTCCTCATGGACCTCCTCCCTGACACCTTGTAAAGCTCCTGTGGGCAGGTCAAGGCTCAGTGCTGCTTTCAGGGAATGCTCTCTGGTTTCTGAGATACACCAGCTTATCTGGGCAGGGGAGGAAGAAGGTGGTAACAGGATTGGAGCGTTAGACAGAGCTGGGAAGAGACACCCCTAGCTCCTGGGGAGGGCCAGTGCTGCTTGCAGGGGTGAGAGAATGAGGGTGCCCTGGCCACGGGGACTAAGCTAGTCATTGCTCTCCTAGGGAAAATCTGGGAAGGCTTCTTGGAGCAAGGGAGATCCCCAGTGGTCGTGGTTGTTGTCACCAAACTGAGAGTGTTGATGGTGATGATGATGACGGTATTTATTGAACACCTCCCCCCACCAACAAGCTCTCCATGTGCGTTTAACCCTCACCATGACTCTGTGAAATAGCTTCTGCTGTGATCAGGTTAAGATGAGGAACCCGAAGCTCAGAGCCTAAACGACTTGCCCGAGTTCACACAGCATCCTAGGAAGCAGGGGACCAGAGTGACAACCTGGATGGTCTGGCTGCAGAGCCCCATTCTGGGTATGAGGCTATGTGGGGAGGAGCTCGGGACGGCCCCAGGGAGATGCCCAGGAGACAGGAGGTAGCCAGGGACAGACATCTGCCTGGAAGAGCCCAATACAGGCCCTTTGCTCAGGTGGGCACCTGAATGTGATGGTGCTCCGGGACCTGCCCAGGTGGGCAAGCTCATCTCGGTGACCTCTTCTTCTCAGGGGGCACACAAGGTAAACACCAACACCAGCAGGAGGAGTGACCAGACCCTCCTGTCCCTCGTTGGAATGTTTTAGTGCTGAAGGCACTAAAAAGGGATCTAGTGAAACTCCAAGCCCTTCCTCTCATAGATGAGAAAACTGGACCACAAAGAAGTTAAATGGTTTGTCCCGTTTCCTGGCAAGATGATGGCATATCAACTAAGTGTGGCCTTGGTCAAGGCTAGGCTGACCAGTTTCTCCCAGTTTACCCAGAACTTTGCCAGTTTGAGCACTGAAAGTCCCACTGCTTGAGGGAACCCCTACATCTCGGGCAAACCAGAAAGGTCACCATGCAGCACTAACTTCTCTTGGCTCCCGCACCAATACTCTCTTTCCTCCAGGCAGGACCTACTTAAAATAAGTTCCAATGAGGGGCACCTGGGTGGTTCAGTCACTTGCGCCATGGACTCTTGGTTTTGGTTTAGGCCATGATCTCGCGGTTTGTGGGTTTGAGCCCCACGTCGGGCTCCATGCTGACAGTGCAGAGTCTGCTTGGTATTCTCTCTCTCGTCCTCTGCCCCTCCCCCTGCTCGCTCTCTCTCTCTCTCTCTCTCTCTCTCTCAAAATAAATAAACATTAAAAAGTTCTTTCAATGAAAAGGAAGGGGTGGGGAATAAGACCAAGAGGAAAGAAAAATGCAGGGTCACATGGGGGGAAGTGAACCCGGGAGGCTTCAGAGGACAGTGTCTGCCAGGGACAAATGGAAGAAGAGGGGTCAATGTGCAGGGCAGAGGGGGAGCACGGCGAGCATCAGTGGAGAGTAGGGGAGTTTGCTTGGCTTCCTGTGGATCAGATCACAGCCAGTATGTCAGCTAAACAGGAAGGCTGTACATACAAGGAAGGCTGGATGAATAGTAATCCCTTAAATTTGTTTAATAATCCCTTGTGTTGTTAGAATAGTAAAAATAATCCCAGCCATCTGTTCCACCCTTTACATTTTAATATGTTCTTTTTTTTTTTTTTTTTCAACGTTTATTTATTTTTGGGACAGAGAGAGACAGAGCATGAACGGGGGAGGGGCAGAGAGAGAGGGAGACACAGAATCGGAAACAGGCTCCAGGCTCCGAGCCATCAGCCCAGAGCCCGACGCGGGGCTCGAACTCACGGACCGCGAGATCGTGACCTGGCTGAAGTCGGACGCTTAACCGACTGCGCCACCCAGGCGCCCCACCCTTTACATTTTAGAAAACACTTTCACACCTATTACCTCATTGGATCTCCACCACAACCCGGGGAAGGCGGCAGCACTGATGTTATAAGACCTGCTTTCCCCATCCGAAGCCCTGGGTGTTAAGAGTTGGCAGATGTGGGATAGGACCCAGGTGTTCTGTGCCCAGCCTGGTGCCACTTCCAGCACCCCTGTGGTCCCCCTCAAAGAAGACAACTCCTATTAGCTTGGATTTGGGAAAAGGCTGGAAGTTCTTTCCAGCAACCCCCCTGTTCCACCCCCGCCCCGCCCCCATCAGTATTGGCCTTTCTACTGGACTATTCCCATTAGCATGGAAACAGGCTATAATTTCTTCTATCTGGAAACACACACACACACACACACACACACCACTCTTGACCCACATCCCTTTGCAGCACCCCCATTTAGAGCAAAAATCCTTATAAGGGAATCTACACTGATGATAAGCTTCCCCCAAAAGTAATGCATTCTTATGAAACCTTTGTAAGCTGAAATGGTATAAGCGAAGAAGCAACTAATGTCTATGGAAAAAATTTTTCAGTATCCCAGCCCCCCTCCAAAATAACCTCTCTTAGGTTTTTCTGCTACCTTAGGACATATCTTGCTGACATGATGCACAAAATAAATAGAGATAAAACACAGATGCTCACAGACACTGCTCAAAACTGTGGCGGCTTGATGCCCAGATGCTGGGTGTAGTTCCCAGGGAAGGAGCTCAGGGGTGCCACTCGTTGTCTGGGGTGCATGCTGCCTCTATCATTGGGTGTGCCGCCTCTATATATCAGCTCCCTGCAAAGCAAATACTGAATGCTATCCCCCCCCCCCCCGCCATTTTTTTTGTAAAAGTGAAAATCCTCTTTGGATTTCTTTTGGCTAGCGAAATCAGGTACTACAGGTCTTTGGTAAAAATGAAACAATGTAACTCAAACTTTCAGAAAGCAAGGGATACCTGTATTTCCAATTTGTCTCCTCCTTTCTCTCCTCCCAATCCTTCTCGAATTCTCTCAACCCTGTTAATGCTCTCAGCAGGGTCAGCAGTGGTCATTTCTCAGCCCTCATCTTGCCAGACCCTCAGCCTGTTTGATACAGTTGCTCATTCCTCCACCCAGAAGCATCTTCTTCCCTGGGCATCTTGGCCACCAGCTGTCCTGTCTTTCTCCTGTCCCCCTGCTCACACCGAGGGCCATAGGGCCATCAACTCCTCTCTTTCTACGCTCACTCTCTACAGGATCTTTCAAGTCAGGATCCTCTCAAGGCTTTGAATACCATCGTTTATGCTGATGGCCCTACAGTTGATCTCCAGCCCAGAATTCCAGATTCGAATTTCCTATTGTCCACTCAGTATCTGCATTTGGAAACCTAATAGGCACCCCAAACCTAATATGTCTGAAACTGAGCACCTGCTCTCACTGAACCCCTGCTTCTCCCACAGCCTTTTCTCCATCTCTGTAAATGGCAACTCTGTCCTTCCAGTCATTCAAGTCAAACGCCCTGCTGACATCCTCCACTCCTCCGCTCTCCTCACACCCCACTTCTGGCCCTATAGCAAATTCTATTGGCCCCACCTTCTAGGCAGAATTTGACCACTTGTCTCCACCTTCATGGCCCCCTCTTGAATTGCCGCCGTGGCCTCCCACTGGCGTGGCCCCCACAGTGTGTGCTCAGTGCAGCAGCTCGGGTTGATCCTGTTAAGTGTGAATGAGGTCACATGGTTCCTCTGCTGGGCCTCCAGGGATGACTTCCTGGGCCTGCAGGTCCTCCCTGACCTCACCTCCTCCCATGCCCCCCACCGCCCGCTCTGGTGCAGCCATGTGCACCTCCTTGCTGCCCCTGAGCACAGCAGGCTCACTCCCAGCCCGGGGCCTCTCCACCTGCAGATGCCTCCATCTGTCCTCTCGGATCCACTCACAGCTCCCTGTGTCCCCTCCTTCAAGTGTTCGCTTGATTTACAATCCTGTGTGACTGAGCACACACGCACGCACACACTGCCTACTCCTCCTCCCTGCTTTATTTCTCGCCACAGCACTGTTCATCCTTTTTTTCTGACTTGTTTGTTGATGGTCTCCCTCCAGCAGAATGTAAATTCCTTGAGGGCAGGGGTTTTTGTCTAGCTTGTTACTTTACTGCATCCCCAGTGCCTGGCACCCCTTTGATGTTTATGGAACGAATAGGTGCCTGAGAGGCGTGTCCGAGGGGCCAGGACTGGCCGAGATGCTGGTCAGAGCAGGGAAAGAAAGCCTCAGTTGCTCGTGAGTCACAGGGGAGGAGGAACCACAGTGCCTAATTAGCTGTTAATGTCTCATTAGGGCTCCTCCTCCAGATTATGTAAACAATGGCCAGGAGCACGTGGTCTGAATCCCCCAGCTCCACCTCCTGACCTTGTTCACCTGGACCAAAGGAGGGAAGACATGCACAGGTTCCCTGGGGCCCCTGGGGTAGGGGAGAGCCGAGGAGGGCCCTGGATTCACTGCCCTCCCTCCTCTGAGTTTTAGGTGGACAGAGGCCATCAGAGGCCCAGCCCCACAAGAACAATCTCTGGGTGTTTCCATGAACCCCAACTCAGAAGGCCATTGACCTCAATCTGACCCTGCTTCCTGCATCAGTTCTGTCCTGTGGAAGCTGTGGTCCCCTAGCTCCAACCCATCCCCAGCACCCAGCACGCCCAGTCTCTTCATCTGCCCATCCCGGCATCTCCCACCCTAGCCTGTGGAGAATTCTCAGCACCACGAGGGGCCCTCCCAGCGACGCACTCAGAGCATCCCTGCCCAGCTGCCACAAGGAGGGTGGGTGAGAAAGGGGAGAAGCCTCAGAGGAGACCCCAGACCTCCAGCGAGGACCCACCCAATGCTCCCAGCCTGGGCCTTGGAAGGGCTGTTAGAATTCAAATGGTTTTTCTCTCCTAGATACCTGAGCCCCTCTCTGACAGTCTCTACCAT